TGTGGTAGAAGACGGCGCAATAGACGTGCTGGTACACGTGAAAACCAATCTAAATCAGAAAGCTTTAGCAAGGGAAATTTTCGCATTCTTTGCTGGAACTGCAGGAGTGTTCGACAGAGAGGCCCAATCTTGGAGAAACTGACATATGATGCTGATGTAATCGCACTTCAGGAGACCCGGCTGAATACAGAAGAAGCTCTGAATGTCTCAGGCTTCCAAGCGTACTACAACAGCAAACACCTAGGCCAAGCAATCCTGGTCAGGCGCGGAATAACATTCCCAGTTGTAGACACGAGTGCATGGCACAACGGCGAAATTCAGGTGCAGGCTGTGAAGGTAGGTGGGAATAAACCTTTCACTCTAATCAACATCTATGCCTGTAATGATAAAGTTGACAAAGAAACGTGGACAACTTTAAGTGGCATGTGCGAGCAGATAACCACCGACATCATTATGTGTGGGGACTTCAACGCCAAAGGTCGTCTTTGGGGCAATTCAGCGATCAATAAATAGGGTGATGCATTGGAGAAAGCACTAACAGACACGGATTTAATCTGCTTGAATGATGGCAGACCCACCACAATCTCCGACAGAGAAGGTGATACTGACAGTGCCCTTGATCTCACGCTGGTCTCTCCCAGTATGAGTGCACACAGTCAGTGGGGCGTACTGGGACATCATGGAAGCGACCACTTTCCATGTTGGATTCTAGTTTTAAAAAAAACAATCTGCGCAAGGTATCAGAGACCAGCCACTACTTTCCAGTACCCTGCTCATCAGCTTAATGTAAGCTATTTTTTAACAATCCCGTGGTGAAAACCTCAGGTCGCAGATGCCTGGACAGAGAAACAAGGTGCCACCAAAGACTGGGAGAAATGCAAAAAGTCTTCGAGTTTTTCTGAGGCTCAGAAACAACACATTAAACACAAAAAAGACAGGACTCACTGAACATTTTAAAAAACTTGGAAAGGAGTCTAAGCACACAATGTTGGAACATTTTTGCCAAGAAATAGGTTACGAAAAATCTCTCAGAAAATTATGGCGGCTGCACCAAAAGATGAACGGAGGCAAACAAACCTCTGTTATGCCGGAGCTAAAGATGGACAACGGAGAGGGGGGGGGGGGGGGTGTTATAGTCGGATGAAGATAAAGGCGTGGCTATCCTGCATGGATTTCTCATGCAGACGGAAATGAGAGATAAGGAAGAGAGGGAGCAGATGAAACAAAATTTACACGATATCCAAATGGCTGAGAAGGAGAAGACGATGATACAGTACACATCTCACCTGATTGCATTTGAGCAACACTGAAGACCTGTTCAGACACAGATCCAGGGCCTGATGGCATTAGATACAGTAACTTCAAAAGCTTCGAGGAGACAGATATTGATGAACTATCCACGATATTGAACAATATGAACTATCCTTGATACTGAAAAACACCATAAAACTGTCATTATCCCTGATGACTGACACCACAGCTATCTCCGAAGGGTTCCTAAGCCAGGAGAAGACCATAGGAGAATAAATGGCTACAGAATCATCACACTCCAGAACACTATTAGAAAACTCATTGAAAAAATCGTTTCCAGAACGTTAACCCAAACATTGGAGTCAGGTCGTCTATTCCACTGTACACTAGGTGGCTACCGACCGGGAAGAGATACACGGTGCAATGCTGCAGTATTTGCATTCGACACATACGCGGGTTTTCAAGAGGGAATGGAAACGGCTGCAGTCGCTTTTGACTTAGAAGATGCATTCAACAGTGTCCTTTAGAACATGCTCAACAAACAAAATTGGTCAAAAGGATTGCAGCAGCGCTATTCGAAAGAACAGTGTCGCTCCGAGGTGGTGAATGGGCATCCAAACCTCAACGCGTCCTAATGGGTCTGCCCCAGAGATCACCATTGTCGCCTGTGCTCTTCAATGTGTACACATTAGGAGTCACGAGTGCACCTAGCATAGGCTTAGGCAGAACAATATCGTATGCAATGATATCCTTGTTTACCGTCAAGGTAAAAACAGGCAGGAAATTACAACCACGCTACAACACGAACGAGACAGACTTAATGAGTGGTGCCAGGAATCAAAAGCTCATGTGAACCTGTCCAAGTCCTTTTTAACAATATCTACATCGTCAGTAAACCAACGCCAGTCGTAAGCATATGTGGTGTGGACATCGAGAGAACGGACACCATGAAATGCCTGGGCATGACATTTGACAGATGCTTGTCGTACAAATGCCACGTAGACAACGTCATACTTAGAGCCTGGAAAGGTCTGACAGTCCTCAAGGTGCTAGCTGCAGCTGATATTAAACAACACCTACTTGTCCTTCTGTCAAGGGATTGTATTAGGCGTGATCGACTATGGTCTTGGCCTCCTCACTGTCAGCAAAACCCAGCTAGAAAGACTGGACCGAGTACAAATGAGACTCATACTCGGCTGCACAAAAGACACCTCCTGCAACGCCATGTCCTGGGTTTGCCGACGAAGACTAGCAGATACAGAGTGGCACAAGTCAAGGCTTACATGAGTGTATCGGCAGACGTTAACCACCCACTGCACAAAGCTATACACGATACAAAAGGAGCGCATCTCAAAAGAGGCCGCTCTTGGATGGTAAAGGTCGCGCATTCAATCTCAGGTATGATACCTAGACGTGATAAGTCACGGAAAAGAATGGAAGAATACACCAGTAGATAGGCTTGACATCTCTAAAGTTGTCATCACACTCGGAAGCTACTGATAGGATCGAATTCCTGCGGCCGTAGACACAGAAGCAAGGAAATTGATAAATCAGCATTCAGACCCGTATAATATCATCATGTACACATATCGATCTAGGTCAGCATGGGCATACACAGCGCAAAGAAGGGAGAAAACAATACAGCAAGACAGCGGCGCTTACCAGAGAACCATGCCAAGCATGGCCATGGAAATAGCCGCTGCTTCTAGAGCTTTAGCATGCGTATCCGTCACACAAGCAGTAATTGTATCAGACTCCATGAAAATGCTTCAGAAGATAGCAACAGGCGGTATGCGCTCTAAATGGGTAGAAAGCATTTGAAAATCGCACTCAACGTCCCTCACCTGGATCTACACACCGGGTCAAGCGGGCGTAAAGGGAAATGAGCGAACGGACCAACTGGCAAGCACTGCACTAAGGATTCCGGGAAAAAGCATGAACAGAACATAAATCTTCAACGGACTGTGCTAGTGGGTAATGAGGAATCCATGACACTTACACGATTGCGTGACATATGTGTAAACTATGGTCTTCGAGGCCGTGATAAGAGACAACATAACCATTTCTTATGGGAACAATTAGTCGAAGTACTTTGGAGTGACTGCTGCATCTAGGACTGAGCACGCATGGTAATGCCCAAAGTGCAGTGAGGTCGATTGTGATAACATAAAATAACAATTCACTGTTCTGAGATGTTTCCTATCGAGGGTCAGTCACCTGAGAACAACGTATCTTGACATCTATACGGAACATGTACATTCACAATGGCAACACTAACCCATGAGGCTAGCGATGGTATTAAGACATTTCACAAGTACGCCACTACTATCTGACAATTTCTACTCATAGGGTAGGGACTAATAATATATTATTGTGAGTGGACAACCATTCTGCCCGGAACCCACTGAACTCAACCCCACTTCCGTGCGAGTTGTACGCCATTTAATACATAACAATGATCATCATAGACATGACCCATCTATGGTTATACCTAAGTCTCCCGACTCCCCGACATCCCGTCGTATAATGTGTCTAAATACCCTGCAATGCCTACCGATGACACATATCATACCTCTTGACTACTAATGCAGCATAAATATAAACACAAGTATGGCTTATGAGACACATTTGCAACAATCATGCAATGTCACCTGTTAGTACAACTTTCCCTAATGCACAAGGTTTCTGTATCCTTCAGATATCCTCAGTAATTATTCATCTGGAAACAACAATTTTTTCTCATTATCTTTAAATTTAACCTTGGATTTATAATTTTTCTAAACAAACAAAACAAACTGATGCTCCTTGTTACTGACTGAAGTTTTGCATACCTCCACAACGAATCAATCCGACTGGGTCACAAGCTCAATGCCTGGAATTTTATTTGAATTTATTGAATTATAATATATGGAGTAAAATCTTCAATGGCAACTTCTGTATCATCTGTAACATTTATTGATCTATCTTCACAATATAATTTACAGCACTTCGTGAACTGTAGATTTTACTCTTTAGGTATCTTGATTGTCTGTCTTTAGACATGGAGATTGTGTTTTTATATCGTTTTTGCGTCCAAAGTTTTAACATCTGCAGCATTGAATATGTTCCTGTTGTGACTTTGTCCATAGTAGGATACACTTGTCAACAGGTTGCTGGACTTGTCACAGACGACTCAATAGGTCAGCCAAATTGTTATTAAACCTGAATATATATATATATATATATATATATATATATATATATATATATATATATATATATATATATATATTTATTTATTTAAAGGTATACTTCTGCAGAAGTAGTGCCCAGCGGGAAATCCTGTTGATGTTAAGTACTCCTGTTTTTATAACCAAATGTAGAAGACGATTGACACATTATCTTGCTCCGATAAAGCGTACCTCTCCTCTACTGGGGCAATATTCTGGTTGCATAATATTGCCTACTATTCTGCTGGCGTTGCATCTGAGGATGAAGGCAATAAAATTTAGGCAAATTTTAAAACTGGGAGGGTGGGGGGGGGGGGGTGGGGGGGGGACAGTGTATCCTGGTGAAGTCCTGGTCCAGTTCTGTATTCCATTCCATTAAGTTGGAAGATCATTTCTTAAGAAGTTTAGTAAGGGCAGCCGTTTAAAATGTTGTCTCCGTAGGAAATGCCGAACATTTTTTTTCTGAAACATCGCATTTCTAATGCTTGTATCTTTCTTTCAAGTTCAGCTGTTGAGGTATACGGTATATATTGTGTACAGTACCAAGGATTATGCTGCTGTGTACAGTACCAAGGATTATGCTGCTGTGTACAGTATCCAGGATTATCCTGCCGTGTACAGTACCAATGATTATCCTGCTGTGTACAGTACCAAGGATTATCCTGCTGTGAACAGTACCAAGGATTATCCTGCTGTGTACAGTACCAAGGATTATCCTGCTGTGAACAGTGCCAAGGATTATCCTGCTGTGTACAGTACCAAGGATTATGCTGCTGTGTACAGTACCAAGGATTATCCTGCTGTGTACAGTACCAAGGATTATCCTGCTGTGTACAGTACCAATGATTATCCTGCTGTGTACAGTACCAAGGATTATCCTGCTGTGTACAGTACCAAGGATTATCCTGCTGTGTACAGTACCAAGGATTATCCTGCTGTGGACACTACCAAGAATTATCCTGCTGTGTACAGTACCAAGGATTATCCTGCTGTGCCCCTGAACACAAAGTCCTCTGTATTGATAATCACATCACTTAGGCGAGAATAGTCATGAATCATTTGTTGAACTGCTGATTCTGCAGCGTAAGCTGGCCAGTCCCAGCACTTATGACCCACAGTGACAAAAACCTTATATAAGTGACCCTTACATCAACCCAGGACTTCATGCTAGAGGTGCTTCTTGTCTGCAGCTACTCTGAGATGTGACCTTGTTTGCACAAATTTGAGCCTATCTAGAGTAGTAGTAAGTAGTGTAAGTATGTATCGCATACAAACTACCCGGGTATCTCTTGTACATCGCACAATAACCCGCATGGCTTCATTCTGTACGCGTTCAAGTTTCATCAGCTGACTGCTTGATATGGTAAGCATTCAAAGTCCATAATCTGTTTCCGACAGGATGACATGCTGGAACATGGGGAACAGCATTCTTTGTTTCGTGTCCATTGCTGCCATAATTTTGAGAGCACTGAGTCGTTTTTTGGCATTTCACCGCAACTGCCTCCATGTGATCTCTTAACGACAGGCTTTTATCGAAAGTGATACACAGGTACCTCAGTTTGCTTTCTTTTTTAACGTTACTGTTATCAATTGTAAGGCTTGGAACATTAGCTCTTACAATTCTAATGTCCTGAGAGCACTACAAAACAGTCGCCTTTTCTGAGTATATAACAGCACCTACTTCAGCACACCAGTCAGTCTACAGTTGGCTGTCTTAGGCTATCCCTTGCCTATGACTCCCCTGCCTATATGCAAGAACATCATCATCAAATGTCAGTATCCTCCTAACACCTGGTGCTTCAAGTTCTGCATTCTTGCGTGTATACACAATAAAGAGCACTGGTGACATTGCAGAACCCTGGGGTAGTCCCGGGGCTCTTCGTTTACAACAACAAAAAACATTTCAAGTTTAACAGGAATAATCTTCTCAAGTTCCTTGCCAAAAGTATTTAGTTGGGTGACATGCCTGAGGCAGCTGAGTCTGGAATAATATTTGCCTGGTTTTGAAAGAGGGATTTGGTGACTGTGTACCCAATCCTGGGGTACTGACGCTGTTCTGATACTCTGGTTGAAATGAAAAGCCATCTCCTTTAAGTCTTCATCACTCATACTCTTCATATGAGCAGACCTGACTTCCTCTGGCCCAGGCGCAGCGTCTCTTGTTTTTTAAATATACATATTTTATATCCTCCACCCTAATGATATCTTGAAAATAGTTATCATTTATAGTATTGGACAGATTACCTCTATGGGCATTTCTAAGCTGCCTATCATTTTGATCAGTTTGGAATATAAATCTCTTCTAAAAAGCTTACCCCTTCTCCTTGTTGTCAATGGCTTATGTTATATAATGCCTGTTCTGACAGGCCGTTCCTTCCTTTGCATCTGTCTGTGAAGTCTCCAAAACCTACCCAATAATTTATCCTCTCCAATTTTGCTCATAAAATGTTCGCATTTATCTTTTTTTTTTTTTTTTTTAACCTGCTGTACACCGCATTTTCTAGCTGCCTAAATCCTCAAATAATCTGTAAGGTGTGCCTTTCGCACTTTCTGTAATTGCTTAACAGCTGCTCGCTTTGCTCTCCATGCCTGCATACATTATGTCGAAGGCGCACAAGAACGTTACTGGCCCTGTCATACTTAAAAGTCTTGTGCGTTCTCACCACCCTGAACTTGCTAGCATTAGAAATCAAGATTGAGCATGGCAAATGATCACTCCTACGATCGCCTAGGACACTCCAGTTTGTGTCCAGCACTGCTGAATGGGTAACACCAGCTAAATCAATGACCGTGTCTGCATCACCAGGTCTTATTGGTGTTCTAATTGGCCCACCGTCGTTTATACAGACTAGCCTCTGCTAAAACATTTCCTTGTCTGTTTCCCCCCGGTACTGTCCCATGCTCTGTTCTGCGCAATGAAATCACTAAAAATAATAAGCCTAATACCCGAGATTACCTTCAACTTTTTGAGCCAGTACCACTGTTCTTTTCGACAAGTGAGTCAACAGCAGCGTAAACATTCACTAAATTCCAGCTTGTTCCCCCCCCCCCCCCCCCCATTCTCTATCTGTATACCCTGAACCTCTAGTGCACAATGACCCCACTGGCCCAGGTCAAGAACCACATGCTTCACCAAATTCTTCAGCAGCAGACATTGTCCTTGTCTTCCCTGTCTATTAGGATTTATATAACTATTGTATGCATAAATATGCATTGTATTCACAGCTATCTGTGTTTAATTCTTGCAGCAAGATCATATCAAAGTCACAAATTAGTCTCTCCAGTAAAGGTGCTCTTTGCTTGGTGCTACGACAATTCCAGTAACCCACTCCAGTAAAGGTCCTCTCTGCTTGGCACTACGACAATTCCAGCAACCCACTCCAGTAAAGGTGCTCTCTGCTTGGCACTACGATAATTCCAGTAACCCACTCCAGTAAAGGTCCTCTCTGCTTGGTGCTACGACAATTCCAGTAACCCACTCCAGTAAAGGTCCTCTCTGCTTGGTGCTACGACAATTCCAGTAACCCACTCCAGTACAGGTGCTCTCTGCTTGGTACTACAACAATTCCAGTAACCCACTCCAGTAAAGGTCCTCTCTGCTTGGTGCTACGACAATTCCAGTAACCCACTCCAGTACGCGTTAAACCGCTTCGTTTTTCGCCCGACTCTCAGGGCTCCCGTTCTCCTAGATCTGTGCATCCTTCTCTCTCCATTTCCTCGTCTTCTCCTCTTCCGACTTTTTTCGTTGCACCCTGAAGATGGCACCAAGCACAGAGCACGCTCTCCGTAGCTCCGGCGATGACTTATCTTTATTATTGAGTACATATCCATAGACAATATACTTTCAATGCAGGAAGTACACGGTCAGCATAGTATCGCATACTAGGGTAGATACAATGAATGTCCTGACGGAGTTCATGCGCCTGGCGCCGCTTCACCCGCTAACCACGTTAACGAATGTATTACCCACAGTCATTCAGCCAGTAGGAACGTAGATCCACCGTAGGCTTATGCCCCCCCCCCCCTAAGTTTGTCTCCTCTAGATCCGTTGCGTTTTGTGTCTCTTAGGCCATACACAACGGTCTTGACTGCAAAAGGGTTTTCTTATTAAGGTGCCCACGACCTAGGAGTGCTTTTTCGCCCTATAGATACACGTACTCATGAGACTAGACTAAGCTATCAATGTAAAACAGCTAGTGTGCACCACTGCGCGAAAGAGTAGACATCTACAGCCATGGATCTCTCTTTTTGATCTTTGTGTATTCAGGTGCACAATAATAAGGATTTAATTTTGTGTTGGTAAAGTTAGGCTGAACTTCCAACTGCCATTAATGGAATCATTCTGATACTGGATACAACACATAATCATCATCATCTGGCATAACAATCGCTGATCAAAATCTACTGCAAATGTTTATTAACTTGTGCCTATGCAGAACATACAAATTAAAATGATACGACATAATCACTAACGTAAAGCTTCCAGTTAACATGAGGTGAGGAGCATACTGATGCTGGATATGACAAACAGAGAGAGGAGAATGAAAGAGAGAGAGAAGAAGCAAAAGAGAGGGAACCAAAAAGGGAGGGGACAGAAACACAATATAAAAGAGATGCTGAGGGATCTAAAAATCCTTGTCACAAAACACCCATCTACACTAGACTGCATGTTACTTTGTAACCCTTTTGTGATACCTAACTATACATTTACTATATGGCTGAACTAGGTTTCTGGACTTGCACCGGTCTGATTCTCATTCCTGAGATGTTAATCCTGCAGAATGCAAATCAGGAGGGGTAAATCTTGAAAACGAAAACTCTAAAAACACAAAAAGGAAATAACTGTGATCAATAATATTGGGGCGCAGACACGGAAGTATCTGCATGTGACGTCTGTTAACGGAAGTATCTGCATGTGACGTCTGTTAACGGAAGTATCTGCATGTGACGTCTGTTAACGGAAGTATCTGCATGTGACGTCTGTTAACGGAAGTATCTGCATGTGACGTCTGTTAACGGAAATATCTGCATGTGACGTCTGTTAACGGAAGTATCTGCATGTGACGTCTGTTAACGGAAGTATCTGCATGTGACGTCTGTTAACGGAAGTATCTGCATGTGACGTCTGTTAACGGAAGTATCTGCATGTGACGTCTGTTAACGGAAGTATCTGCATGTGACGTCTGTTAACGGAAGTATCTGCATGTGACGTCTGTTAACGGAAGTATCTGCATGTGACGTCTGTTAACAGAACATACCCTCATGAATTACCTTAGGATGTCTGCTCCAACCATGGACAAAGAACAAGCCAGAAAGGCACCAAGAGTTACAAGCAATATTGTACTGTCAGTCTGTTCTGTATCTCCAGTTTCTGAATGAGGAAGAGCTTCTCCTGGCCGATCCATGCAGATTTAAAACAGGCCAGCATCAGGGTGAAGGCAACCATTTTGGTTAGGACAACGATTCCACAGAATGTGACCATAATTCTGGTATCACTCATATTAGTTAGGACAACGATTCCACAGAATGTGACCATAATGCTGGTATCACTCATATTAGTCAGGACAACGATTACACAGAATGTGACCATAATGCTGGTATCACTCATATTAGTCAGGACAACGATTACACAGAATGTGACCATAAGTCTGGTATCACTCATATTAGTTAGGGCAACGATTCCACAGAATGTGACCATAATGCTGGTATCACTCATATTAGTCAGGACAATGATTACACAGAATGTGACCATAAGTCTGGTATCACTCATATTAGTTAGGACAACGATTCCACAGAATGTGACCATAATGCTGGTATCACTCATATTAGTCAGGACAACGATTACACAGAATGTGACCATAATGCTGGTATCACTAGTGTTGTAGAGCCTCTCTTGGTTCTGGAAGTATATGTACCAAATGTCGGGATCGATCAGGTATGATACCTAGGTCAGCCCACCCAGAAATACAAACGGTAACAAGGACAAAATGCTGTTTATGAAGCCTCCGTAACCCGAGGCGAGGCATCTATGACCTACAGAGAATAGGT